AGGATGAATTGCGCAGGATACCCTTGTGAATAAAGTCAACTCAGGGCAGGCCAGGGCGGGGCAGGGCACCTTGGCCGAGGCCGAGTATTGTCATTCACCCTCCACGCAGTCAGGCGCCAGTCGGGCAGTCAAGAGCAGCGTGGAGGGAAGTGATTCCATTTCTACGCGCACACATCCACTCTCGCACCTCTGTTCACGTATATCACGACATCATTGCTGTTCTTGAGACTCCCAACGTTCCTCCACCCGGGCGAAGCATAGACACGTCAGTCCCATCACATATCCTGCTGCTGACGTGTTGGACCCTCTCCGTCGCACGATAGCGCCCCGCATAACCATTTGCCTCCATTCGAAATCATGTAAAATGTCCCGCGGCTTCATGGCACCATTCCTTCGTAGAAGCGTACTTGGAAGGGACAGTTTCCTATAGCACCGCAAAGATATCACATCCATCTCCTCCACCGCAGCTCGTCCTCTTTGTTGTTATGAAGACGAACCTTGGCACACTCGTCCCCTGGGGACGGAACGGGCGTGTGGCTGGTGGCTGCGCGTGACGGAGCAAAGCATGAAACGTGATCGTGTCAGCTGGCATGTATGCGCGGAGAAGCCTGTGTCTATTCCATCGTGATCCACTTTCCACTGCGTACTCACAGTTGCTTTTTGATGGAGGAGCAAAAGGAGAAGTGCGAGTCAGCAAAATGCTTTCCCCATTCGAAGCCAGCCCCGCACCCAGCAGCAAGCAGCCTCTCTGGCATGATGAGCCAGCCACGCGTGCGAAAATTTCTGCCCGCAAGGCTGAGTGCATCGAGACGCACACGTGACAGCGCGCGCAAGAGGCGGTGCGGTGCGGTGCTCAGCAGTCTGAGTCTGATCCAACATTCGTGATTCGTGATTGCGGGCGCGGATCCATGCGCACAGACAGACAAGTTCCCCTTTGGCTCCTGCTTGATCCCCAACAGCAAGCGCACGTCATATAGGCTGATCGAGGCGATCTCCAGACAGAGTGGCAAGACTCGCATGGCAGGCCTACCACCTAACGACGCCTTGACCACCTGCCCAGCGTAAACAACTTTGAAGACAAAGCAAGCGTTTCCCACCCTGCACAGCCAGCATGGCACCTCCCATCCCTTCCAGCTTTCGTCCGCGCGAAGCGGAAGCGGAGCCTTTGGATGGTGTGCGACCTCGATCGATTGCGCAACTGGCGCAAGTCGCAGCCTCGCCGCCTCACACTGTTCATATCAGCAATGATGTGCCATTGAAGCGGTATGTAGGCGGAGCGGCCAGTCTGGCCAAGCAGGCATCCATCGACGAATCAGAAGGAAGAGTGGAGAGGAGCTTCGTCGATCTGATCAAATGCGCAAAGCTGCTGTTGGAGTTGATACCTAAACATGCGGAGTATCGAAGTATTGATGCACGTATGCGCAAGAGCATCAGTGAGGATGCTCAACGAACGTTGGATGACATTTCTAGAGTAAAAATGGCTCTCGCTAGTAGAGAGGAGCAGTGGATGGCAGATCCGGAAGCTTTCGAAGCGCGTGCTAGGAAGCTCAGGAGCGCTGATCAGCAAGCGCCCAGCGTCTCGGCATTGCAAACACATCAGCAAGAAGTAGCGCGCGCGGATAGGACAGCACAAGCCCAGGGAGAGCGCACATCGCAGGTCGCCTCCAAGGCAGACACCCAGGCTCGCGGTGCCTCTGATGGAGGAATCGAGTTCCACAAGCCGGAACGAGGCGGATTTGATGTGAGGGATATACTGGGATGGGTAAAGGCGGATCAAAAGACCGATGCTAGCCAGGATGCGTATGCGCAGCTGGCAAGACACGTCGATACCAGGCCGCGCACGAGAGAGTGAGTGATCGATGGAAGGACGTGCACTGAGCAGCATCGCCGAGCAGCGGCAATGGAAGAGCTAGCGCGTGCGAGCCTTGCAACTGCGGGTGGCTGTGTGCTAATGTGTGCTGCCTGTTGGGATTTTGCTGTGCGGCAGGCCGGCAGCCCATCGAGCGCAATTGGCGTACCCGACGCTACGCCCTTCGCACTCTATTCGAATGGCTAAACATCAGACGAACCAAGGCTTTGCGCCTTCCTCTGACCGAGCCGCCACGTACTTTCAGACTGCGCTTTCAACAGCAGGCGCTAGCGTTGATGGTGTGCAGATGCCCTCACCTCATCCCACGGACGATGTCGATCTAGCTGCGTCGGCGCTCAGAGCAATCGGACTCGGGGGCTCGAGCTCCTCTTCGGCACAGACTGCCATGAGCTATCCAAGCGTCGCAGCTTCAAGCCATTCGGCGACTCGGAGATTGCGAGGCGACGAGGTGGAACGTCAGGCTCTCGCACTGGCTTCTAAGCGTGCGCGCGCGCCCAAAACGCACACCGAAGGAGGTGAAGTATTGCGTTCCATCTTTGTGCCTTCCTCTCTCATCAGCCGCTTCGTCTCATTGGCTGAGAGCAACACGACGCGCAACATCGAGACGTGCGGACTGCTCATGGGCAGGTTGTCCAACGACGCATTTACGGTCAGCCATTTGACAATTCCCAAGCAACGAGGAACGACGGATAGCTGCGACACGGAGGATGAAGAGGGAATCTGGGAGTTTCAGATGAAGGAGGATCTGATCAGCATGGGATGGATACACACGCATCCTTCTTTTTCGTGCTTCTTATCCAGCAGAGATCTGCACACGCACAGCACCTTCCAAGCGCTCATGCCAGAAGCTGTGGCCATCGTCTGCGCACCCAATGCCGAGCCCAATGTGGGCATCTTTAGGTTGACCGATCCGCCCGGCTTGAAAACCATCATCGCTTGCAGAGCTCCAGCAGAATTTCATCCGCACGTATCGAGCGATGGAACGGCCCTCGCCTTGTACACCGACGTCTCGCACGTCATTCTTGAAGAAGGCACTGCTCTCACCGTCACTGATCTCAGACGATGAGAGCGTTCAACATCTCTTTGTCACACAGGTGCAAATGGCATCGCAAATGCTAGCACGAACCGAAACGCTCGCGCAGATCATGCATTGCGCTATGCGATGGATCTAGCACCGTTTGGCGGCGATGCACGCTAATTGCCGTTCTCGTCCCTGCGCGCGCACCCTCTTCCGCGGAGGGCAGGCGTGTTTTCGCGCTCGACAATCACGCAAACATGTATCCCTACGCATGCCGCGGTCTTCCTTGAAAGTCAAAATACTCCCATGGTAGCATATTAAGAGCATCAAGAAGACTGAAACCCACTTTGTCGGCTAGGGATGCCGAAGATCATGGCAAATTGGAACTGTATTACACCGACCCATCACTCGCGCCATCAATCGAGAGCGCGTATATTGTATCTTGGGCTGCGCGCGCCACAACAAAGTCTGGCAATTGTCTTCGCAAAGTACTTGGTGGTCGGAAGCGTCTCGGTAAGCCGTATCCAAAACTCACCACTATATGCTTTCGCTCGATTTTTGTGCCCTCAACTCGCAAGACTTGCCCCAGCGATGCGGCATTGCTACAGAGCCACATCCACGAGAATACGGTCAGGGCGCAGCGACTGAGTCGTGTTTGGCAACGCGCGGCAGCCCAGTTGGAGTCAGACTCGAGACTTCTTGGGCGCGGAACGTGGTCATCCTTCTCTTCTCTCGATCCTTGGCAGCTACATCGATCAAGCTTCAGAATGCGGTGAGCCATGAAGATCCGCGGTGCAATAAGGTCCACGCGCAGCCCCGGGATGCCACGTACACATATAGCTTTTCCCAAGCGCCACCTCGCCAAGACGTGCCTGTGTCAGGTCGTGTGAGGACTCGATGCGACTCACAAGTATATAAGGTACCTATCTCAACCGGCCAGGTGCAACATAGAGCTCTTACGTTGAGCGCCCTCACACTGCATTCATGCGCGTAGTTGCCGCTACCCTTCACAGAATGTTCCCCGAATTGCATGTTGAGACATGTAAGCTGGGATCAGCTGCCAACGGTTGCTCTGCCTCAGGGACAGACGCAACTCCTACGAACAAGGCGGCAACGAGAATAGCCGCTTCGTCGCGCGGTGGATCATCGCCTTCAGAGCGGGGCAACAAAGTTTCATCAAGCGGCCTGCAACCTCTCTTTGCTTCACCGACCTCACCGCTAGCAAGCAACTCCTACCCCTCCCCTCGTCCACAATCTTCCAACTCCCGCTCTGGATCTGGCCACCACAAGTCTAGACCGTTGGTGGTTACTTACAGCGCTCTGCGCAACTTTGATCGCGCCCAGTCTGGCGAGATTGGACGCGAGAGCGCTCCTTCTCCTCTGCCATCTGGCCATCGTATCGTCATGGATGGACGCTCTGTTCCGAGCCAAGCTAACGTTGCCAATAGGAGCAGCCCGAAAATGATGTACAATGTCGTTGCACGCATCGTCGCGGCCATGGCCATGGTGGTGGGAGCCGTTTGCAATGTCGTTCTTTTCGGTGAGTGGCAGCATCCAAGCACACGACCGAGCAAAAGCAGCTCAGGTGCCATCGAGCCGCATGGAGCTGAAGCTTCCTACGATGGCACCCGCAGGTCCACATCTGCGACCGCTCGTCATCGCAGCTGTGCTCCTTGCAGTGAGCTGCTGTACCTTTGTGATGGAGGTGTTGCCGCGTCAAACTTCCAAGCGAGTCATTCAGGCACATTGCTCTACGCTCAACTCGCCCATCGGCATCGCAATCGTCTATGCCGCCTTGACGCTACTTATGTGCGACGTTCCGCAGCCCAGGCAGCAGGGCGCAGGCCCTGGTGGCCCTCCAAAGTATGTTCCTTATGTTCTCTACTCGGCCACAGCGATCGTCGGTCTCGTCTCTGTGTTTTTTGGGCTGAGTGGAGCATGGAAGGCATGCAAACCTCAACCGCGTCTGTGTCGAGGGATTGGGTCACACCAGCAATGCCTTCCATCGACGTTGGAGCAGTGCGACGATTACGACGACGATCCTTCGCTCGTGCACGACCCCCATTATCGGCCCGACTTTCTACAGGCTTCTGCTCCCTCCTTTGTCTCGAGACACGCACCGTCCGCCTCTTTTGCTCGTTCCAAAACCTCGGCAAGACCGACGGGTCGGTCGCTGGCAGCGTACGACTCGGAGAAGACGTCGGCTGCAGTGAAAAGCGCCTCGGTGGTCGAGCTGACGCGTGCTCATCGTGGACCGAGCCGACCGCAGACTGCCGAAAGTGGCCGCACGCTCTCAGATTGCTCAAAATACATGGACCCACGCTGGGGTGCCGTCGATGCGGGCGCATCAAAGCAGTGTGCAGACCAACGAAATTACCTAGGATCCAACAATGTAAAGTCTGCTCCGGCTGATCTTCGCAGCTATGAAGCTTATCCCGACGGTGCAAAACGGCACACGCTTGCTCGTCCCCGCACGGCACCTTCAAAACCGCAGAGCGAAATCATGAGCGGTACGGATGCTGGGCATCAAGTCCCGAAAAGGCGCAGTCAGGAAATCATGGCCAGAACTTCCGTGAGCGATGGCGGCGATGACAGGTCTCTGCATTCCATGAACACGACGCATTCTGCCCACTTTCGAGCCTTGAGCGTATACAAGGGGCAGCAGGATCATGGCGCTAGCCACGCAGGCACGGAAGAGAATCAAGAGGTCATGCGCAACAGCATCTGTTCGCGACCTGAAGTGGACGCACGAGATTCAAGAAGCTCCTTCTCTGGCCTTGTGCATTCCAGAAAATCGAGCTTCTCGTCGGCCAAGGAAAGTCTTGGTGATGGTCTGCCAAGACTTGCGCAAAACAAGGAATCGAAATCGACGTTGGCTTCCATATTCAAGAGAACGAAGCGCGGTTGCGCCGAATCTTCCCAACCACAGGCAGAGACGGAATCAGTCGTCGGGCAGCTCGAAGAGCAAATGCCGTCAGACACCTCGCCAAATAACAGCGCTTCATCCTCCCATACTCACCCTGCCGTCTTGGACTACTTCAAGAGATCTTCAGCGGAGGCGCGACGGAGTCTTCATCAAGCAACACAGGAGACGTCTCTTGATCATGATCTCGAGAAGAGGTCGCAAAGTAGTGTTCGACGAACGAGAAGCCGGCGTAGGGTCGTCGACGTGCCAGGAATCGGCACCATTGAGCTGTCCTCTGACTCGGAATCCGAGCTATCTTCGTACTCTGCCGACAACGACGATACACTCTTGGCCGTCTCGCGCCGACTGCACAGCGCAGCTCAAGATGCCGAAGGCAATTCCATCGAGGAGATCGAGAACGACGCTTCGACGCTACCTGATTTAGATGAAAGCACAGAGTGTTCCATCAGCGATACAACCAAAAGTCCCACTGGCGCCGAGGTCTCGCAGCAGGGCAAAGAAAGGCAGCCGGCGGAAGGAGATGATCGTGCGAGTAACGAGTCTACTCAAGGCCACAAGGCAACATCGTTCAAGCTGTCCATACCCGTTGCAGGAACTGCGGAGGCCGAGGTGCTCATGAGCACCATCTCGCAAGAGTGCGAGTTTCAAACAGGTAAAACCTTGGTTCCTTCTCCATCGTCCATTGCATCGATGGGCGTCTCGGGAGAGATCCTGCAACGCCAACGATCCATCTCGAGCGCAAAATACAAACGGCAGTCCAAAACGACTGGCCTTGATGATGAATCTGCCGCTGCCGTGGCCGCAATGAAGAGGCGCAAAGAACTCAAAATTCAAAGAGGCGTAGTCAGAGCTCTGAGCGGCAGACAAAAATAGCTCGATCAGACCGACGATGAGGATGCGCCGTGATCTTTCTTGTGCTGCCTCGGCGCTCCTACACCCTTGTTCAAGATTGTAAAACGAACACTGTTTGCCGGCCCCGAGCTTTTCGTCGTTCCTCTTGTTTTAGATAGACCAAATCAGTAGCGCCAGTGAAATCTGGGCCAATGAAAAGACGCTCATTCGCTTTGCACATGATCGAAGTCGGTGACACCAAGCAACGCAAACCCATGAAAGATGAAGCATGTCTATCGACTCCACTGGCCGGCCTTCTTGCCACCGTTGCCAAATCGCTGCCTTTTGCTAGTGGACGAAGCCTTCTTGTAGCTCCTTCTATCGCTCTGCTTCTCCCTGGCTCTGCTACCTTGCATCTGCAGGTCCTCCTCTTCCGGCGCCAGCGCTCCTTGCGCATCTTGCCTCTCCTCTTCTTGCTCCTCCACCTCCTCATCCACATCGATCTCATCTCCCGCTCTCCTTTTCTTGCCTCCAGCAGCGCTGGGCGCACCTTTGAGCCCAGCTCCAATGGCCAGATTCACCTTGGGAGGGACGGAGAAGCCGAATGCGCGAGCCACTTTGGCCAGATCCAGCTCGTGAATGTTGAAGATTCTCTTGAGCGAGTATGAGCCGTAGGCTTGCAAGTATGACCGGTAGCCGTCACGCGCGGATTGGTTCAGGTAGTAATTTTTGGAGATGAGCTTTTCCAACTAAGATAGGAGCAAGAAGGCGAGTCTTACGTTTGTCAGTATGCGAGACCGCATATTTTCGAGAAAGCGCGTGGCATTGACTCACTTGACCCTGAACATTTGCAATCTTGCTAGGAGGAAAGGAATACTCGTTCAGGGGCACCTTTGCCACTTTCAGGAATCGCAAGAAGCCCAGCTCGGAGGGCAAGAGGAAAAGCAGACTTTTGCCATCCTTTCCAGCTCTCGCTGTTCGACCGACTCGATGGATGTAGTCCCTCGGATCATCGGGTGGATCGAACTGAATGATCCAGTCCACTTTGGGTATGTCCAGCCCTCTAGCAGCTACATCCGTGCACAGCAGCACTCCACTGGGAGCATTGCAGAATTCGAAGAAGGTGGACGTTCGCTTTTGCTGTTTCTGCTTGCCGTGAAGATCCAGTACAGCGATGTCGATGTAGTTGAGCAGCTCGGCATGGTACTTGACGCTGTTGCAACTGCTCATAAACACGATGATCTTTTTGCCCCGGTTGCGCTTCAGAAAAGTGAACAGCAGCAGGAAGCGCATGTGAGAGTCGCAGACCACGTAGCCTTGCTCTAATCTCTCCACTGTGGAAGCCCTCAGATCTGCGTGTACATTGATGTAGAGCGGTCCAGGCCTGAGTGATATGCGTGCTAAATCTTGAACTTTAGTCGTCTGTGTGGCAGAAAATAGCATCGTTTGACGATTTTCTGACAGGGGTGTACACAGAAAGCGTGTCAGCGAAGCGGACCTAATGTATGCGCTTTTGCAATGCACCTTTGAGGGCGTGCTCGTCGCTGAGAAGCTTTGCGGGCCGTGATGCTCTCATGGCAGACTCCACTGAACCAAACCGCCTCACCGACACTCACCGTTGGGCAACAGCTTGATGATTTGCCTCATCTCATCCTCGAAACCAATCTCCAAAATCCTGTCCGCCTCGTCGATACAAAGCGCCTTGAGGTTCGAGAAAACAAAGCCTTTAGTGTTTTGCAAATGGTCCAGCAATCGCCCAGGGGTAGCGATGATGAGATTGACGCCCTTCATCAGCTTGTCCGCCTCCGCTTTCCTATTTGCCCCACCCATGATGATGCCTATCGTTTGAGAGTATCCCGCAATGCTCATCAACTCCTTTGCTACGCCAAATATCTGCAGAGCCAGCTCCCTAGTGGGAGAAATGACCACTGCGCCCGTGCCATTGCGAGGTTTGAATCGCAGACGAGCGAGCATCTCGATGGAGGGAATCAGGAAAGCCAAAGTCTTGCCGGAGCCTGTCTGAGCTGCGCCCAGCACATCTTTGGCTGCCAAGAGTGGAGGAATGCAGCGGGCTTGGACTTCGGTAGGTTTGCTGAGACCCATGGCTGTGAGAGCTTTGAGCGTTTGAGGAGAGAGGTCCAAAGAGTCGAAGGATTGTGCGAGGGACGATGCGGGTGCGGACGCGGATGCGGATGCGG